CCTCAAAAAAAATGAATAAAATACAATATCAATTGGTGCCTAACCTTTAGGTTACCAATTGTATGTTTAGGTGATCATTCATAATTTTTTTTGAGGATCATTCAAATATTTTCCTTAATACTGATACTCTATTGGTCTATTCCATAAAAGAGCTCTGGAGCTCAACTCTCTATCTCCGAAACGAAATTTCGGCAACGAACGAATATTAAACAAATTGTGCGTGTTCGAAAATTAAATACAGTAGAGTCACTATTTAATTTTCGAACACGCACATAAAGGTCGGAATCACAAACAATTTTGGTGAAAGAATGGAATGAGTTATGTTTGTGAGTTCTTTTTATCTCCACGTTTTAGATTTCGTTTTTTACTTGGAAGCACCAAAAAGGAGAGTAAGAAGAGCACCACAAAGACTAACCTGCTACAATTAGAAAAGGCGCGACGCGCCATTCTAAAAGTAAATTACCGTCTATCCTTCTTTCATCCAACAGATGATCTATATGTCAAAACAGGGGTACTCACCGTTCGTCAATTGTATGTTCTCTACACAATTCTATATCAGCATTCCTTAACTAATTATTTTCCGGGTTGGCTGCAAGCGAAACGTAGAAAGGATCAGTACCCCTAGCACGAACCATTATCGAATTCGAATAGTTTGCGACTGCGAAATGTCAATGTCAAATTTTGTATGGATACTTGAACAGTAGCGCCACAAAGTACGTAACCAGAACTAAAAATCAGTACACATTAGTGTTGCCGATCGATAGTCGACTGTCGATGATTAATCGATAGTCTATCGATAGCCAACCAATCGTATGACAATCGATCGGCTTATCGATAGTATCGATACTAACAATAGTATCGATACTATCGATAGCACAGAAAAAGCCAATACTATCGGATGAGATAAATACTATCGATACTCTTCGTTAATAACAAACTAGCGATAGTATCGATACTGTCGATTTTATTTGCAACCATACTATCGATAGTTTAACAATTTGCAATAGTATTGTTTACAATTTTCAGGTATTATAGTCAATCACAAACTTTAGTCTAGAACAATCGCTAGTGTCGATACTATCGATAGTATTGTTGAAGATAAAATGAACACTATCGATAGTATCGATACTATCAATAGTTTGTTATTAACGAACTACAATAGTATCGATAGTATTGCCTTGTTCTGAGCTATCGATAATATCGATACTATCGGTAGTATCGATTCTATCGATAAGCCTATCGATAGGGTACATGATTTTCGATGTAAACTGTCGATAGTTTTAATATCGATAGTTCGGCAACACTAGTACACATTTGACAATGACATTTTGGACTCGCAAACTATTCGAATTCGATATTGGTTTGTGCTAAGGGTACTATTTTAAAAACCCTAAAAAGAGGAGTTTTTCACAAAGATTCGTTTGCTAACAGGGTGAAGCTTTGTGCAATAAAGTAAATAAGTCTCATTTAATTTATTGTTTAACTAAATAGCAAGCAAAATTAAATATATACTACCAAATGGCTTCAGATATTAAATTACGACAAAACAGAAAAAATACTTAAACACGATTCTTAAGAAAAAGAAACTGAAAATATAACAAGTCTGGCCATAAATACTGTTACATAAAAACTTTTCTTTTTTCCACTTATAATTATTTTGAATTTGGAACATGTAGCCATTTCATATATTTTTTCGTGTTCATAATCAAATTAAAATATGGAATGGGGTGTTAAAGAAAATATGATTGCAGTGGTCGCCTTGCACAAAGTGGGTATGGAGCCGTCGGCGTCGGTCATAATCCAGACGCTTCAAAAGCTTAGTATCAGCCGTATGTTCGTTTGTCGTACTATAAACAGATATAACAATAGTGCAATTCTGGTGCTGTTAGAACTACAAAGGCTGTTCATGCTGTTAAAGCCAGAATGCGTCGAAACCCCATTAGAAAGCAAGAACTCTTATCGCGAGAAATGAAGATTCCCGTTAGGACTCTGTCGCGTATTATAAAACGAGACCTGAAGCTTGGTGCTTATCGTCGATATACAGAACATGCCCTAAATAATTTTTTACAATTAAAGAGAGTGGATCGATCAAAACGCCTTCTGTCAAGATATGCAGGTGAAAAGCACAGAAATATCCTCTTTACCCATGAAAAAAAAATTCACGATTGAAGAACACTACAATAAGCAAAATGATAAAGTGTACGCTCACAGTTCTAAAGAAGCTGCTTAAGTGGTCGGAAAGGTACAACGTGGTCATCATCCTGCGTCAGTGATGGTTTGGTGGGGTTTGTCTAATCAGGGAGTAAGAAACTACATTTTTGTGAAAAAGGAGTGAAAACCTCAGCCAAAGTGTATCAAGTGTGGCCCTCATCTAGCCCAGACCTCAACCCTTTAGACTTCAAATTATGGTCAGCTTTAGAGGACATGGCCTTCTTTAAACGACACGGCGACATTGAGTCTCTTAAAAAATCTTTGGAGCAAGCAAAGGCGAAATTTCCCTTGGAAACAGTGCGTAAATCCATAGATTCGTGACCAAATAGATTAATGGCCGCATAAAAGGCAAAGATGGCTATTTCTAATAGAATATTTTTTGCTGTCTTTTATATATATGTAGGTATAAATTTGAATGATATTACATTCCTTAATTTAAAAAAATGCATTTTCATTTGTAACATAACTTATGGCTGGACTAGTTACACACACACACGCAGGCACGCACACACAGTACTTTTTCTACAGTTTTCAATCTTACTTAAATTGTTTATATAGTTTTTGTCACTGTGTCAATCTATTATAGTGCACGTCCAGGTTTCCGTGAGGTGGGACTTGGTGATGTGTATTTCCGGCTACGGCTACACCAGTTCTTCACAAAGGAGATTGCTTAGCTTCCATACATGTTTGGCCTAAAGACCAATAATCATGAAAAATTGTTTCCTAGATTCGAAATTATATATAAATTACTGTAGAAACGAATATTATTGACGGACACCCCTGAGAACTTTTATAAACCATATACACTGAACATATTAAAATAATAAAAAACAAATAAGTTATATAGTAAACTAGGGAAATCAAGCCAATTACCGAAATTATGGATTAGATTCAGATATATAGAGCATGTAGATTAACAGATAGTTGCCTGTTTTTAAAGTTAATGCATAAGAGTAACTTTTAAAATCAGGTGTCATTTCCGGCTATAATTAGGTAGGTACTCTGTGACAGAAACTGTGTGATGATTGTGAATGAGCCACAGATTAGAGACAATTTTTAAACTCTCGTTAACCAAATAAAGCTAAGAGATTTAGGTTCTATAGCCATATATTCAGTAGCTTCATTATTTTTGTTATGTTTTTAAGATAACCCTATTTAAGATTTTTAGTGTATCACACCTTATAATTTTATTTATTTATTAATTTATAGTCAGGGAACGTAGGCCCATAGATAGATACCTTAAAGTCTAACATATATACAGATTTTAATGTGTTTATGGAGGTGTTTGGTGAAAAATGTATGGCAATAGACTTTATGATGTCGCCTACCATCTATAATAATTATTATAGATATAGTAGGAAAATGATAATATAGTTGTGGATATTAATATAGTGTAATAAAAAAATGATTTATTTAATCGAACTTTACATAATAGATTTGTTTTTATTGTTATATAAACAACTTCGATCAGTCTTTGGCTGAATGTCCTTTTTAAAGTAAATATATTATACAAAGGTGTCCGTTGAAATGTAATGAATGTACTTCTAAAAATAAATAAATATTATTATTATTAATTGAGTGCGCCGATTTGAATGAAATAAAAAATTTAGTCTTTATTTTTAGTAGTACAAAGTTCTAGGTCCGATTTGAATGAACTAAATGTTACCCAGAGATATACTCTATAAACATTTTATCAATGCATTGCATTAAATACAGCGGTTTTGGTTTGATGCGCGAACAAACCAAAAGTCAAACAAAACAAACAAAGTTCTAAAAATTATAGAAATGAGTTCTATTCTTATTCTAAGTCCCCAAACTACTTTTTTTGAAAAAATATTCAATGTACAGACACGCGATGCTTATATTTTTATTATACCTATATATAGATAGCACCATTAGAAGTCCTCTTTTCCCACGTTAAAGTGAAACATAAATTGGAGAGTCCAGTCTGCTGCTTGTCCACGTGGAAACTTTACTAGTAAAATTTTCTTTAGATTTAAACATGTAGCAGTTAAATGCTTACAAAAATAAAACATAACTAAAATTGCTATTTCTTCTTTCAAATGTTTAATATTTGTAAAGGTATTCGTTTGAAATTTAGTGAATTTAGTTACCTACAATGCGAAAGATGGCGCTGCTTTGCAGCCTAAGAAATACTAGAAGAAATTCGACACGGCCATTAAGGCCGCGGTAGCATAATTGATCAGTGCATCCGCCCGGATAGCGGAGGGTGCGGATTCGAGTCCCGTATGTTGCCTAGCGACGTAGTTTTTCTTTTCTAGTAAAATTTTCTGTGAATTGGAGATATTATTTGATAGTTTGGATGATTAAATGTAACGTTAACTATATAAAGATATTCTTAAGGATAAACGCATAGGACAGTTACTACTATATTTTTTATCGTAAGTTTATACAGATGTAGAGTAACATATTTTACGTTACAGTAGTAATCTCTGAAAAACCGGAGATGTTATTTTAGACAGTAAAGGTTTATTTTATGATAAGAGAGTACGATATTTTATTGAATAAAATATTTCAAAAATCCATTCAAAACGTGAAATACCTTTTGCTTCCTGCATTGAAACTGGTCACGGAACCAGTTAAAGTAGTTTTTTTATTTAAGTCAAATTAAAAATCTCGCTTGAGTTAAACTGACAAATTCTTGTTAGTACCTAAATACATAATATTAACTATAACGTCGCTAATGGACAGAGTGTGGCGGTTAGCTAGTGTATGAGATAAGATAATGTGCAATCGTAGTAAGTTCATTTAATATGTAACGTTTGGAACTTCTTGGTGCAGTGTCGCTTCGCATTCGTAAGATGGATCACGATAAAGTGGCAGTAACAGAGCTGGAGAAAATCGTCAAGAATGGACCAGCAGAGAAAATAATTAGTGAAACAAAACACGACTTCTGCTCAGAAGAATCATGTGAACACACTCCGTTCCGTAGACAGGTGTGTGAAAGTGTTTAGTGATACATTAACTACAGTCAAATTTAACTGTTTCAAACAACGCAGCTTAAGTTAGGTTTGTTGTTGGTTTTCCTTTTTCTATTACGAAATTTTTTATGAAAAAAATTAGATAGGTACGCTACGTATGAAGTTCTAAATAAGTAGTTTATTTCAAAGGCACGTATTAAAAGGTATTTATTTAATGTCTATAGAAAAGAAAAATAAAAAATCGGCGCAAAAAGGGATAAATAAATTTAAGTACAAATAAAAACATAAACCAAACAGGTTTGCCAATAAGTATCTACATATATGTAAAACTTGAATTCTGGTCTACTTATTTATATTTATGATATAAGCACTGACATTACGAAGTTATTTATTAATTTGACAAACAAAACAGTACAAATAGTTATTGGTGAAGTTAGAGATTTTTCCTAGAACGCCCTTCAGGTGAATTAATATTGATTCAGCGAAAGTTCAAAGTAATTAAACAACACGAGGAAAATACACTGTGTAATGACGGTATATGTTGACAGTAAAGGTTTTAAAGGAAAATTCATTTTTTATGCTTTTTAGCTTGTTTTAAAAGAGTTTTTTACCTTTTATTATTTTTATTTTCCTGGCGTACTTCGTGCCGCATTATCGAGTAGACCCGAGTCTACCGTACCGAAGCAACGAACGTCAAATTTTTGACAGGAAAGTAGATAGAACAATTTCAATGGAAAAATTAAACTATAGCTTTACTATCTTCCTCGCAATTTTTCCATATTATCTCACCGTTTTAACCTTCCCTGGACTACGGCAAAGATATGAAAACCAAAATCAACTCAATCAGCCCAGCCGTTCTCGAGTTAAAGCGAGGGCCCACCCTAGCTTCGCTTCGGTGTAGAGCTCTAGTGTAGGTAGACTATAGTTTTTGTTCTCAGGCAATTTGTTTATAAATACACAGTGAATTTGTTTATATAATTATTTTTCTCACCTTTTAAACATTCCCTAGACCTCCACGAACATTTCAAGACCAAGATAAGAGAAATCCATTCAGCCGTTCTCGAGGTTTAGCGAGACTAACGAACAGCAATTGATTTTTATATATATTTAATATAACTATGCATGCCCCCATTTCTTTGTAACAAAAATGGTCCAAAATTCAACTGAATTTTGGACCATTTTTGTTACGGGGTCTACCTATCTCAAAATCAAAACTACTTAAGAATGTAAAATTTCGGTCATAATGATGTTCCATTGGGACATAATAGGACATCATTATGACCGAAATTTTACATTAACTTATTCACTTGGCTATTGTAACTGTTATTCCTGATAAGATCAACAATAGGTACTGATTTTTCATAAACATCAGAATAAAAAAAACAGAATAGTTATTTTACATGTCATCGTTACTTAAAAATTACTTGTTCTTTAGATACCTTTATAGTTTACACGAATTTGGTTTGCGCATCGTGAACCTTAAATAAGTTCTCCACCTATTAGTGAGGGATTATTGAATATAACTTATAAAAAATACATATCTTGTGTCACAGTGTTTGTAACAAAATTCCTCCGACAGAGATAGAAAGTGATAATTTTAAAAAATGGCGCCTTTCTCATTGGCTTTAAAATATCTTAAATTTTAGTAATAATTTAACTCCTTATAAGTTTTGATACAAATATTCTTTGATATTACTTCCTTATTTCGGTGTTATAATGACTGTATTTTGATATCAATCAAATCATAATGAATAAAAAACAGCACAACACATAGTTTCAGGGGCATTCAATGAAACAGTTTCGTTTAATAACTTAACCTTCACACCGTAATTATCATCAAGATTTTAATCACTTTATAGTTACTTAGTTGATAAGGACATACATGTCTGTCTTCAAACTACAAACCGAATAAAATATTAAAATAACATAATTTCAACATATACGAGTAGATCAGATTTATTCAACGTCCTAATTGAATGTTAGATTGCTTAAATTCTGATGTACCACACATTCTCGAAAATTATATTACAAAAATTGTCTTGGAACAATCAGCAATAAGTTCAGTGCAGACACGCAAACCTGCTTTTAATTCATCAGTAAATAATAATGAAATTTTACAGTTAAATCACAATATACATTAACAATTAACTGTTTATTAAATGCGGCTCCTCCTTGAACATTAATTTGCTAACGACATTGTTGGAGGAATCATTTTATCAGTACAGTCAGTTAATCATCGGAAACAGATAATGAATGTAATTAGGTAGGTACTTAATGTCTGTTGCAACTCCGTCCATATAGTACTGGAACTACCAAATTAACAGTTTTATTAGAATGCTATAGTTTTATTGCAAGGGTTAATTTATACATGCGATATCAAATAGGACACAGTGCGCTTTACGTCACGAATTAATTTAGAGACGACTTGCAAAGGACATTGGGCAAAAATAAATAGACTCTGCACCCACGTTCGCCACGGCTTAAACTCTTACATTTATTTGAAAGGTATTATAGTCATGATCATCTGTGCCAAAGCGCATCAAATTCCATTCCGGTGTCTTTAATTATTTTAATTTAAATAGGTACAACTATTTTAACGAACGAAAATTAATGAAACAAAGGAATTAATTTATGATTTAGTTAGTTAGTTCGACCCTAAAAACAGGGCTCAGGTATTATGGAAGTACTTCACAAGATGCAAGGGTGCACCCTTATGTTATTCTTAAAATCTTAAAGTTATAAAATCTCCGCTTGAGTTGATTTTTTTTCAAACAGTCTGTTCGCTATAGTAAATTGTCTTCTACGTAAAACGGAGGAACGGAACCACAAATCACACAAACTTGTCCACGCCTCGGAGAAAACATGATTCCAGTTTATATTAATTCACATAACCTATAATCGTGTTCTAATGTCCAAAGCGTGTTACTTAAAAATCAATCAAGTGACAGGGGAGCGCACAATCACAACGAATTAAAGCCTCGGTGACAAGGGGGCCAGTTTGCTGCTAGCAAACGAGCTTGTAGCTTGTAAACTCGCCCCGTGCCATCGAGGCTTAGGACTAAGGACTGCATATGAGTCGACTAGTTGCAACTGCAAATCCTTCAACCCCCGTATCCCTTATACCCCGTAAACCGTTTTGAGGTGTCTCGGTAAGTGCAAGTGCAGGATGGGCGGCAGGCTTTGTCGTATATCTGGTTGTCTATACGATATGGCACATTATTATGGTTACTAATAATATAAAATGAAGGTACTATTAAACCAATTTATTTAGCTGCTTAAATATGCCCATGTGTCATACATATCTTTCGAATACCAGGATTTTTTTACGATGGCATAATAAAAAAAGCTAATTTTTCATAGATATTTCGATTCATACTAATTACATTGTTGGCGGAGCTGAGTGTGTTTTGCCCATTGGCCTTTTATAATTTGGTAGGACAAAAAGAACTCAGCCAAGTGTGAATAGGGCTAATAAACGAATCCGTATCACCATAAAAGAGTTAGGGTGACCAATGAACAACAAGCTGAGCCGCGTTCTTTTTAGTCAAACTCGCTTCTCATGAGGTAAAAATCAAAACGTGCTGCGTTTTGCTTTATGTAACTTGCTTCTTCAGTGAGGTTGCTGAAAGTAAAAACCGAGTACAACATGGTCTGCGGCATGGATGACCTCTTTTATTTTTATACGGCTCTGCATTAAACTGATACAAAAATCGACACTACCCGAAACAATTTCAGTTGAATAAATAGTGGAAATAACTTTCTCGGTCTTAGGCGCCCTCATAATCGCAGCGACGGACATTCCGAAGCAGGTAGCACATTATGGTTCACTATTCTTCTTTTTATAGTCTTGTATTTAGTGCCCATCTTCACCACAATGGCCACAGGTATGGGTAATTTCGTTACAATCTATTTTTTAACGTTATACTCTTTGCTTTCTGAATCAATTTTGAAAATAGAACAAAAAGTAAAAACGCTCTGATAATTAAAATTTTTATTTTAACTGAGTTTATAATTTGTTTTTCTATCTACTCGGGACGGTGTATATTACTGATGATGGTAATTTATTGACACCGCCAGAATTGAAAGAAACTACTTAAGTAGTAATTGAGAACCTTAAATCGTGAAATCAACAAAACCAATATAAAGCTCCCATGTAAAAGTTTAGTAACTGTAACAATTTTAATATAAATATAATTCAATTAAAGAATTGGTTTTTTCCTAGTAGGTATAGTATAAAGCACTATGTTTCCCTTGAAAGAAAGTGATATTCCCAACTTCGGTGTATCATCGATTCGGAGTTTTTGCTCCGAGTTCAGTTTAACAAATGGAGCAATGTCACAAACATCATTTAGGCACTGCTCTATCGTCGTCATCCAGGTCCCTATTTCCGGAGTCGAAATAACTTCAACTACTATATCTCCTTGAGTCTGTGTTTTTGCAGAGGACCCAAGGGGTGGCGTGGAAGGAGAGAAATGTGTGGTCTAGTCACTCTTGTTAAATGGACTGAGTCCATTGTAAAAATAGAGCAACTACAAATTACCAATTAATCACTGATCAATTTTCACTAATTAATAACTAACAAAGTATGACACAGTTTCCTACCGATGCAATAACGAGGTCAGAATTATGCACGCGATTATTTAGTTATTATTATGATTTTTTTTCTACGTTTTTTATACGTCTGTTCTGTAACAGTGCAACTGAAAACAATACATAATAATGAAGTAATATTCATTTCAAATCATTGAATTCCTAGATATTACAATAGAATAGAAATCTAACGTTAAACCGTGGCAAAAAAGCATATTCAAATCCAGGGAGACACCGAAATAATTTGGATATACATTATTGTCTGGTGATATTGGTACTTCACTGATCTTTGATCTTTTACGTATTTTTATGAGCTACGTGTATATGTAAATTTCAAGTTTGTAATATTGATAGCTTGTATAATGTTCCTATATGGAATTTCCCTATTTTGTTATTACAGGACGGTGATCTTCAGAGGTAATCGCTTTGACCTAATGCAAGTTGTTTTTTTTAAAATAAATTCAGTTAATAAAAACGGAAAACTTAAATATTAACTGTAATGAAGTTGTGTATTTATGATATTTTGGAATGGTTAGGGAATAATTTTAAAGTGTCAAGCTATGTTTGTCGGTAGCAGAAGGATTAGATGCAAATTAGACTGGAACTTGATGCCTCCCATTAAATATAACGACGTGTCTATACCTCACACTAGACTTGCAACGAATAGTATATTCGGCAGTATACCGAATACCGAATATACGGCGAGGCCCCTGATTGAATAGCCGAATATTAGGCAAAAGTATTCGGCTGGATTTTAGCGCCAAAAACTTGTACAAACCTGATTGTTTCGCGCTCCTTTGTTTGCAGTACATTTCAGTCAAACGCAGTTTCAACAGAAATGGATCTTTTCTTAAATATTAGTAATATATCACGTTATGACAACCCGTATACATGGTGGCAGCAAGGAAATTTGAATTTCCGTGTTTGATTAAGATTGCAGCAAAATATTTGTCGGCGCCAGGAAGTAGTGTTTATTCAGAGCGCCTTTTCTCTGAAGCTGGGATGGTCTACGATAAAAAAAGAAGTTCTACTACTTCCTAAAAATGCAGAAAATTTAGTGTTTCTCCACTATAACCTTCCCCTTCTAAATTTTGATTATGAAAATAATTCAAATGCATAGAAAAATTCTTAACTTGTATAATACGGAAAATGATTAAATTATGTACTTGTTTTATGTACCAATGACTACTTAATAAATCATTATAAAAGAAATGAGAACCTTACCCTTTTAAATTCTGATTACCACAATAATTCAAATACATAGAATCCTCCATTTTTCCAATTCAGAAGATGATTATGTACCTGTGTTATGTACCATTGACTACTTTAATGATTATATATAACAGAAATGAAAATATGAATATATACGTAATCAATCGATATTAATTTTTCATTTTACCAATTATTTCTTTATGACAAAATATATTATTTAAGTATTCGGTATTCGGCCGAATAATATGTAGGTATTCGGTATTCGGCTGAATATAATAAAAGCAGCCGAATAGGCCGAATACCGAATAGTAACCGAATATTCGTTGCAAGTCTACCTCACACCGATAAAGTGAAGAACCTGGGCTTAATTATGGATAGCACAATGTCATGATCCCCACATTTTAGTGAAGTCAGTAAACGTATACACTACTTATTTTATTCGTTCAAGTGGCTTCAATTTTTTCTTCCCTTCAAAACCAAAATTATGCTGGGGCAATCACTCCTGCTCCCCATTCTCGATTACGCCGATATTTGCTACTTGGATGTAACTGAAGATCAATTAAATAAGCTAGAGCGTCTCCAAAATCTTGCAATTCGTTTCATATTCGGATTGCGTTAATATGACCAAGTTTCTGCTTTTTTCTCTCAATTGAAATGGCTTCCCATTCGTCATCGACGAGATTATACATATCCTCTCATTCTTGTTTGAAATCCTCAAAGATCCTGGTTCTCCTCATTACCTTGTATCCGTTTCAAAACGGTTCCTCCTCCTTCTCGTTCTAAAAGGTCTTGCAACACGAAGACACTTGAACTACCAAAAAGTAATACCAACTTCTTTTTCCATTCCTTTTCTGTTCGTGCTGCTTTACTCTGGAATAGACTGCCCTCCAGTATTCAAGACTGTCCTTCCATTGTCTCCTTTAAAGCAAAGGTCAAAGAGCACTTTCTGGAAATAAATTCACACTCTTAGTTGTGTATTTATTCCACTCTTTGTTTTATCTTAACATAAATTCATGTAATTTGTATTTATTATTATATACTGTATCTATGTATATATATGTATGTATATGTGTATGTGTGTATTTATTGTAAGTATTTGTGTATATACATAATAATATGTTGTGTGTGTTTATGTGGTAGAACACAATATTTATTTATTGCGCTATCGCACACAAACATGACAATTTATATTACATTAAAAAGTTTATCTCTCAGAAAAATCAACTTACATGAATCACATTTAAGCGCACCTGGCGACATCTATTGTAAAAAAATAAACTTACATGAATCACATTCAAGCGCACCTAGCGACATCTATTCTAAAAAAAATAACTTACATGAATCACACTTAAGCGCACCTAGCGACATCTATTGTAAAAAAAATGCATTTTCTTCGCAATAAAGCTGCCATCTGGACGTCCTATATAGAGACTTATTATTATAATACGATAAAATAAAATATAACAATTGAAAGTGAACAACCTTTCTAATTTTATTGTTTTCGTCTAACGAATTTTCGATCAGGCCACGTGTCCTGACGCGAGTTTGTCATTTTTTACCCATACAAAAAAGTGTACAACGCCGCTAAAGAAGTTTTCACTTCAAAATAAGTTTTGAACTAACCAGCAGAAATCTGATAAGTAGACAAGGAGAAGATCAATCACATCGAAATAAAAATACTTAAATAATCTCGCGATAGCAAGAAGTTAGCGAGATTGCATGTTACACTACCTACTTTTATGTTTATTTTTTGTTTATCTTAATATGAATTTATATGAATATGCGTAAAATAACTTAGATGAAGTGTCTTTATCAAATTGAAAAATTCATGAACGAAACATATTTTCGATGTTACATAAAAATTATGCTATTTCAAAACTTCAGCGCACTTTCTTCACTCATAACAGCAGATCACCATCAATCGACCATCTTGAATCTAATTGACGTTATATTGTTGTTGTTTAGCTTACGCGGCTTGATCGGGGATTTATGTACGATTTCGTTTATCGGGAGAATTACTAATACAGAAAAAAATATCCTATTAAGATAAAAATATCCTTATCCAAACTGATTGAAAGTTTCCATACATAGTCTTTCCAACTAAAATTTGTTTTTGTCTAGTTTTCATTGTTTGTTTTTGTATAAATATTTTTTTATTTAAAAAATTTCTTACTAGAAAATAGGTTAGACCTGTTAATTTAAATTAATGACGAAGAATCTTAAAATTATTATTTTAAAGCGTTCTTTTTGTACCATGGAATTTGTCTTGGGACAAAAAACATAATACGCTATTTAAAGAAAGTACGAATTGTTTCCATGTGTATTAACATAAATATTGGGAGCGATTTCACTATTCTGCCAAAAAAATAAGTTGATAATATGACTAAAAATCATGAAATAGAAAAGGATTTTTGAAGTTTTGTCACGTGACCGAAAACGCCTAGAATTGGTGGAGACTAAAATGGCGTACCTGTTTGTAAATACGTAGATATTAATTTTTATATGAAGTCACTACACACTTATAAATAATTTCATCTTCTTCGTCAATTTTACGTTTATGCTTTAGCGTCTACTACTTCTTATAATGTAAGGCGTAAATAATCAATTAGTAACATCTTAATCCTTAATATAATGCTATAAATCACAAATAAATATTAACTTCGTTAGTCCCTTAATGCGGTTGTCTCTATTGGCATATGTTTATTGTTTGATAAAATAGGGTTACACGCGTTGTAACTCTGAACCTTACGTTACAATACACTTTTACTTTGTTACTGGTAATTATACAATGAACTTATCACGTCATAATGTCACGATATGAGTGTATCGTTGTCATATTATCATATTACTCTTAATCTTAAGTGTAAAACAGATAGTATTCTCATTCGAAGAAATAAACATACGCATGCAAGAAATATTTACGTATATCAATAAAACATGTACGAGTATTTTCTAGCAAAGAAAAATAACAAACAAATTAAACAATAACAAGACGACACCAATAATCAATGCGATTTCGTAATAGAAACGTAAACATTTTTTACCTAGGTAAATTACCTGTGGGATTATTCAAATAGGAAAAGTCATCCACAGTAATAGATAACTTCTATACACCCGAGTCCATGGGTAAATTTTCTTTAATTTCTATCCCCATTAAAGGTTCCTTGGGGAGGTTTTTTTTATTGCCTACAGAGTCTAGTTAGGGATAAAATCAAAGTTGTATAGGTAATGTTTTCCAATGCTTTGCTAACGATGTGTTTTCATTTTGATTTCAGGCTCTTATATCATTTGGCACCTTTATGTTAACACTGAGTGCTGGCTCAACTGCAGGGTTTTCAGCTGTTCTCATACCAGAACTTCAGCATGCTAAAGGAAGACACAAATACTCCACAGAAATGGTGTCTTGGATTGGTAAGATTAATTTCCTCCGCTATTTTTTTCTATAGATGAAATTTTTGCTGCAACATTTGCGTTTCAATGCACTAAAAAAATGTATTATATTTTCAGCTTCCATGTCATCGTTTGCCTTAGTATTTGGAAATATCATCTCAGGATATTTAATGGAAAGATTTGGAAGGAGGAGGTCACAATTATGTTTGGGAGTGACGTTTATGTGCGGATGGGCAACTATAGGATTTTCAAATGACATCCTACCCCTGATACTTGCTGGAAGATTTCTAACAGGATTCTGTCAAGGGTGGCTTGGTCCCCTTGGTCCTGTGTTTGTCGGCGAAATAAGTTCACCAAGACACAGAGGGCTGTTTCTTGCAGCGATGTCTTTGGCAATCGCTGGAGGTGTGTTTATGTCGCATCTATTTGGAACTTTCCTACGGTGGAATATAGCAGCTCTTCTATGTGGTACATTTTCTATGATTGGATTCGCTATAATATACTATGCACCGGAATCACCATCTTGGCTCGCCTCTAAAAATCGCATCGAGGACTGCATACAATCTTTCAAGTGGTACAGGGGTACCGGTACGGATATGAAAACGGAATTGGATAAAATGATTTTCGAACAAACGAAGAAAGAGAAGAACCAGGGCAAACTGCAAGCGTTGGCTAAGAATATAAAGAAACCGGAATTCTGGAAGCCATTGTTTGTCATGATGACCTTCTTTGTTATCACTCAACTGTCGGGAATCAATGTTATTTGCGCTTATACGACTGATATGATGAAGAAGTTAATTGGGAAACACTCAAATAAATCTAACACTTATGCCGCTATGTTGAGTGTTGACGTTATTAGATGTATATCCTTAGTTTTTGCTTGTATATTGCTGAAAAAAATAGGACGCCGGCCATTAGCTATGTTTAGTGGAATATGTACGGCTGCATCGCTGTCAGCGTTAGCTCTTTATCTGTACTTTGTAGATATTCGTACTATAAGACACATGTCACCAGTTGTTTCCCTTGGACTAATGGCAGTTTATATCATTGTATCACATCTGGGCATCGCCCCTTTGCCATGGAATATGGTTGGAGAACTATTTGCTACTGAAACAAAAGGTTTGGGTTCAGGTATAAGTGTCATGATGACTTCCATTGCATTTTTCACTACAATAAAAACAGCACCTTTTATGTTTGAAAGTATGGGACATCATGGTACATACTTATTTTATGGCTTGTGTACTTTATCAGGGACAGTATTTTTGTATTTCTTCCTTCCTGAAACTAAAGGGAAAACATTGTTGCAAATAGAAGAACACTTTAGATATGGTACAAAAACAGTTCATAGTGATAATGTAGATGATGAAGAAATATAAAATAATTCTTTAGTCTGAGGAAGAGCGGAAGTTTGTATACCAGTGGTATTATTGAATAGCACAATAAGTATGCTTGGTATCAAATTATGATTTTTTTGGAAAAGCGCAGTCCATGATACGGGTATAGAAAATAACAATTTTATGAGTAAAGGGAATGGAGATCCGTCCACATGTTCAAGTTAGGTTTAAAGTTCATGATTACATTTAGTTATCTGTTATGTGAGTAATAAATTAATTAATACTAATCAATAGTTTGATATGCTGCTAATGTGAAATGATCTGATAGCGACGTTTAATAGGTTATCGTTTGACTTAAATAGATCATTACGTCAAAATCATTAATAATTATTAAACGAAAGTTACAATTTTGCATCACGAATGAAAAGTAGGCGTGTTTTAAGTACCTAACTGGATCTGTAACATGTGTAACTATCAATATAAATTGAGGTAAAATTCAAATTTGTACTTATGTTAACCATGTGCAAACAGTATATTTGGTTACATCCTCTTCAGCATTGAGAAATATCTGTTGACTTATTTTGATGTTGACAACTCAAGGCTATGCGCTCAGAATAATAACTATGATATGCTATGACAAATAGCGGAGGCTATGCGTATTGGTAAATTTGACAGCAGCCTCATTTTTATTCCCTATAGATCATGGTAGAACATACTACTGTCAATATTATTTATCAAATACGGATAGCCATAAAGGTAGTAGCATTAATAAATAGCGCATGATGATAGTAAATTGTGCCGCAGGTTTACTTTACTTAATAGACAAATGTAAAGTAAGTTAGACATAAGCTTTAATTGAACCTTTCCTATTATTTAATTTTGTACATACTAATATATTAAGTAAAAAAATAACGTTTTTGACTTTTATTATTAAAATATTCGTATGTCATTGTGTTGCAAACGATAATGCCGCGTTGCTACTTAATTGAAATTTTAATAAATACTTAATCTTTCTGTGGAACAGTCGCATATTTGTGATACAGTCGCTTAATCGGATATTAATTATGCATCCCGCTGTTTGAATTCAACAAATTACCAATACCACCCACTCAGAGTGACAATTATTATGAAATGACTTTTTAAAATATATAAATGACAAATGACTCAATCTTACCTGATGTTAAGTGGTAATACATATCAGACAAGAAGACAGCTAGATTTATTAATAAACAGGTATGTATCAGACAAAAATGCTGCAAAAATACTGCATCCTCACCTTGCTATCATACATTATCTGTTATGCTGCTAATGATAAACTTCATCATTTGTTTATTTTAGTACGACAAATCTTACATCATTTAACATTTAACTTAAGCTAATGATAGAATATATTTGCGTATGATAGAAGAGGTTATGTGAGCTCAAGTTTTTCTTTAGACCCTAGTTCACTGTTCGTAGAACTATTTTTACAATAACGCTATTTAAATTTTTTGGGAAAGCCATTTTTCATTATTGTCATATCAATTTGCGGTCATAAAATATACACTCAGATTCGTTTTACTTGTTCTTATAACACATGGCGTAAAAAGGAAATTATGTCTTATTAAACGTTTAATTTGTAACGGTGGTTAAATACCATGAACGTTTACTTACAGTGTTCTTGTATCATCGCCCTTATACTTGTGCCTTGATCGAAGCTTGTAGGTGCGCAACAAGCAGAACTGTTTAACGATCGTGTAAAACAAAAGGACGTAATATCGATGAGCCCTCGATTATAAAAACGGGTCTATTTCACAGTCCGTTTACCGTGGCACGCGTTCTTAGATATAAAAAGGAAGGAAAAAAAATACGCGAGCAAAGTTTCTTCCTGTTGTGACACGTGCAACTTCGATAATTTTTCCCCGAGCGCACGTAACATGTGGGATCTTTTCCATGGTTTCAGTGCTTCTTTCGTTTTTCTAATATTCTCTCGAAGTTCCCACGTTGCTTGGTACGCGACATGTTTTTGTTCCACAGAAAAAAGCACCAGGATAACATCTGGAGTGTGGATTTTGACTATTTTCGGAATACTCAACGTGTTCATGAAGTAGATTATTATGAGGAAGTTCGCTAACAAATGCAGAGAGAAGATGCAATAGTATTCGTTTATTTATACTAATTTTACGAATGCGAGGCAGAAGATAGGGTTAGTATCGCTTTTGATTTAGTTACTTGTCATTAATGAAAATAAAAATGTTTTTTTTAGATCGTTTTTATATAGGAACCTGTTCATAAACTTGAAATGAAACCAGTATCAACTTTGATAAAAGAGCTTTCATTGCTAAAGGGATATGTTGAGGCTGTGAAATTGTATTGCAAATGTCTAATGCTGTGAAAAAAAACTTTTGTGGTCGAAGAGAAAAACTTGGTGAAATCGGTTGTCATCTCTAAGGTCCTTAGATCAATTAAGCAAATAAAAAAAAAGAATCACAACGATTTTCTAAATTCTTCAAATCAATCAATATTAGTGCACAATATCAATATATTAGTGCTGCATTAATCAATAAAATGTCATCATCATCTGTTTATTACTTTGTTTAGACATAAATGTGAATGATAACCTTATCTTCTAAATAGTGGAGCACTGTAGTTATATAGGCAACAATCAAATTCCTATTGCACAACCAATTGTTGTAGGTACTTAAATGAAAAATGGGGTCATCTATGAATATAAATTGATGTTTTGACAAAGGCCAATCGAAGGCCACTCGTGTGCATCACAAATGCGTAATATGCCAAGTAGTTCCTGTAGTTTTTGTTTGCCGTATACCACTTATATCATATCTTTGGCGTGGAACGACTATTTTAATAATTCACCTATGCCACGTGGCCCAGCGGAACCCGTGCACGTGCTGTCAATTAGAAATGGAAGATAATAAAAAAAACTCGTCGAAAATTTTCAATTCAAAGTTGCCCCTTTGAAGTAGGCGGAGTTGCTATCTTTTCAATGAACGAAAGCGAATGTTTTAGCCCTTTTCTGGATTGGAATGTGTGGTGTAAATCAACTCACACGTCACTATAAAATCCATAGAGTAGATTCTGACTGCTTTTCGATTTGTAATTGTAATATTATTAATTACGTTGATAAAAATTGTGTGGGTATGAACCGCAGGTATATCGTTACTTACGATTATTAGGAGGTAAATACATATTAGGTTAAATCCAGACGGCATTTAAAAATCAGTTCTATTTGTCGATTACCACAATAACGCTTTTTGTCATATAAAAAGTTATATGACAAAAAGTGTTTTCCGATTTCTCGTGCTATTTATAATTAGGAGCAAAGTGCACACGATCTCAATAATCACTAATATGTTTCGACCTTTTTTGTTTATTCAAAGTCACATCATTAACATACAATGGTCTCGCAAATTAACTTATATGTGCCCGATGCATAAGTTATTGAACAATTCGAGTAATTGCGACGTTTTACATAAGGGAATATAAATTCAAAAAGTTCCGAGTGACATGTGCACTGCGCATTATGGACCCGTGATTCCGGTGTTTCATTTCCCTGGGGTGGAAATAATTTTAAAAGCTAAATGTTCATATCCAGACACACATGTCACGCGGTGTATGTGATATCACAAAAACCGGTCAAGTTTGTGTCGAATATATATAGAGCATATAAAGAGTTTAGAAGGTACTATCATACATAGGTACAGCTTCTGTGTCAGAGTTTATCAAAAAAACCCTTTTTTTTATAGCTAGGTAGCCAAATGACTCTACCCTACCTGATGTTAAGTGGTAATAAAATCCCGATGCGAAGATAGCTGGTGCAGCAGTTATAAATTACCACACCAACCATCCTCACCTTCCCATGATTCACAACATTCATAGAAATGAGTGCACAATCAACACAGTTATTTACTATATTATTCATTAGATCTCAATTAAGCAGCAACATCATAGGGTAAACCCTACTTGCTTGCTGTCTAGCTATAAATCTAAAAAATAGTTATTTAGGTTAGCAAAAACATGGAACTTTGGATGCATTGGAGCGGTTTTTGCTTAATTGTGTAAAAAACATACTTCATACGGATAATAGGTAATATGGATTTCAAAGGATCATTAACATATTGCCGTATAAGAAATGCGTTGTCGATTTCAAACTGAATCAAGTAAAGTGGCTTCGACCATACAACTCATTGGATAACCATATGTTATCAATCGCTCCCAAAAGAGATTTTTTTTCTGTTCTGTGCCAATCGCTTGCTAGAGATTGCTTTAAATCGAATTGAACTAATTACAGCCAAAGCAAAAGCATATGCCACCGTGACTTTCGTTACAGGCCCACGAATTAATCTGTGAGAAGGCGAAATTTTAAGTAATTGCTCGAAAACGAAACAGCTACTTGAATCGAGACACAGGGGAAATTGAACTCTATTCATGGGGTACGAAGTGACATTAGCTTGTTTTGTTAGGTGTAAAATTGAGTATGTTCGTGTTTAAGGGAGATTGAGTGTTACTGTTGCCCGTGTAGTTTACCAGATGTTGCGCTCCGTATGGCGCGATGGCGTCTATACCAGTACGCCAGCAGACGCAATTTTACTGTCTTCACTTCCAACAAGCAATCTGGCTCTATAGTAAGTGTCTGATAGAACAAAAAAGGTAAACCAAGATTCATTACTATGGATTCTGGGACTGTCAATAAAAACTTTAGATACGTAAATCACAAAAACGTTCAGATTCTGATTTAAGTACATATATAAATATGTATATCACAGACCGTAAATGAATTTTCAATATATAAAAATACTCACATATACTCAAAAGGTTTCTACCATTTGCAATCTAGTGCAGAGCTGTTTTCATAGAATTAAAGGACTCTATAATAGTCAAAGCGTTAAATCAGTTTAATTTATTAAACCAAAACATGTTAAAAAATATGAAATAAAAGACAGCGACGACTTTAAAACCTTTTATTGTGTACGATAGAAAAGAAATCGCTGGATGTCAATTTTCCATTAAAGTTTAAATAAACAACTTAATATAATATTTTTATTATCTGAACGCTTTTAGGTGCATGCCATGCATCGGCATGCCAAATTAAAAGATATATAAATATTCTCTACCTTAATCTCTGAACACGTGGATTTTTTACAAGGAACTGCGTAGAAAAAGTGCTTATTCAGTTTTGTACGTTAAGTTTGATGGTTCCCTTAAGGCAAAGTCCTTTTTTACTGGTTCCCATGAACCCTGTGACAAAGGCGACGACCTTACCAAAAGACCGAGGAGATCCGCACAAGAATAAATATTATATAACAATAGGGTAGCTTCTTTGACTTTACTTCGCCGATGCAGTGTAATTCGATTTGATACTTTGCATTGTATCCTACAATCATGTGTTTGATCGTCGCATTCTGGTTATGTAGGTATATTGACCGACTTTTGAGTTATATTATCACATAGTTATAATAATATATTAAAAATGTGAATAACACACATAACACTATTTTGTTCATAAAATGTAACTCTCGTGTTTTTAAAAACGAGAAAACTCCTAATACGATAATAATGGATTGATAAAATTTGATTGGAATTTTTGAAGTGCATTAACTGCTTAGTTCACAGAAATGATATTTTCGAAATCTAAATATTTTTTTTCTGAATCAGATAACTGAATTTAATATTTCACATAAATAAATTCTACCTTTTCATGGAGCGTAAGTGGACAAATCGTAGTTTTTGAAATAAAAAAGAATTGTCGCAAGTATCAAGATCTCTCTTCCCACGTGTAGTTATGGGACAACAAAAGAATAGCGGCCCGTAACGGTCTTTTTTCCTTGCGTCGATCGGGTCTTCTTCCTTGTGGTAGGTTTTGTGATGCTATAAGGCGTCTTTAGAATTCCCACGCATCGTCTAACTTGATTTCTTATAAAGTTTATCTCTCGCGAAGCATGCGCGACCACGTGCGCTTTTGTTAAAAAAACATTGATAATAAGTACTACCTAGTAGAATATATATCCATAACATTTATATAAGGTCTTTGTTTAAGACCATATTAGTAATTTTAGAAATTTGGAGTTCTCTAAAATTTTTGCATTTAGAGTCCAAACACCAGACTTATGTTATTAGGCTATAAAATTAATAAAGGTAGGTATATAATAATAATAATAAACATTTATTTCAGGCGTGGTACCCATATTACATACAGAAGTGGGAAAAAATGATAATCAAATTTAATAATCACAGTAATAATAATAAAATATATAAATTACAAATATGTAATTACAATTATATTTTATTATGTATTATATTCTATTCCGAATCAATGGGGATTTTGCACATTAACAATAGAAGATTTTTGAAGATCTTGCAATTATTCGTACGGTTCCTCTTACTCCGCGGAAAGAAGTCGGGTTCAATGGTATTTTTAATTATAATGGACTATAAAAGATTTTGTCTTTTTAGATAATGAAGTTATTGTTCACAAGTAGGCAAATACATCGTTGTACTTTGTAGTGCTTCCAAAGATCGTAGATAAAAACTGTGGCATCTGCGCTTGTAAAGATAAACGGCTTAATCTTATGCTAAGAGGACACTTGTACCCAATAATGAACACTAATAACTACTTACCTACTGTGTGTGTGTTTAAGAAACAAAGTTTTTTTGTATATCAGATGAATAGCATTTTAAAACCGGTAATTTACAAAAAATAAATATATCAGTCTTAAAATATGTTTAGGGTAATGTACCTTGAACACACTATTAATTTGGCATTGAATAAGTCGTAAAACTCTAAAATTATGACAAATTTTACAATATTAGATAAATACCTATTTAGTTCTGGGTGGTAAAACTGAATTGAAGGTGTTGATTAAATAGGGTTTTGTTTTACAGTTAAGTAAATCATTGACCACACAATAATTAAAAACAAAATTAAAAGTTATAATTCGAGTGACTGAGCATTAATCACTACAGTACATAATCATGAGTCATTTTAACTTGTAAGCTAAATAGTATTTAATTATAGTTGTATAATTGAAGCAAGTAGATAATAACCAAGTATGGAAAATATTAAGTTAGATCGAAATCGACCCATTGCATAAGAATTGTATCTCTGGGATCATTTGCCTCTCTACCACAATATTAAAAATAATAATGTCATGGTGAAAAATATTTAAAGGGATACTATTGAGTTTACATAGACAATTTTCTCATATTGTAGCTCCGCGTTAAAAAGCCATGAGAAGACACTGCCGAAAACTAGTTCTTGAGGGTTTTTATCACTAAAATCAGAAAAAAGCTGAAATTTTCGTAGTTTCGTCGATTTTTGACCTATTTGCGATCAGTGCTCCAGGCCACAAATTTGAATTATTCATTGGACCATCATCATAAACAAAAATAAGTCTAAAATCAGAACTACCGGAATTGACACATACTGTGAGATATTAATTTTACTAGACTACCTATTACCATAGATCAAACGCGACCAGGAGGAGAGTCGGCATTCACAGCGTTCCCCTCTGTCGATTTTCCACCGCTGTTGGGCCAGCTCAAAATCAAAACTTAGTTGCACTCGGATATTTCACTAGACTGAGTCAAGTCGCAAGAGTGTATGTTAGAGATCAAAAATGCCAAAATGTTATGTAATTTGCTGTAAAACATATGTGGAATATTGAACTTACAAAAGAATGCTGTTAAATTCCTCATACAAGTAGAATTATTAACATATTATGTATTTTTATTTAACGGCTTTTAAAAAAAAACATATTATTTTGTTAAAATTCAATCGTCGGACTTTGACAAAACAATCGACTCGCCAATACAAATTTCAGATCTGTCATTAAAAAATCTTAAGTTTCATCTTTGCTCGATTTAGTGCCGTCATTTTCTGTAGTGAGTGTTGTAATTTGTGTGCATTCCTACCCCCGCAAAAAGCAGCAGAATGATTTCAGTAGTATTATGTCATTATGGCTACTTCCCCTCCTAGCCGCGTCCGCTGTGTTGCTATATGCCTATTACCAATTATTTGTTTTATCGAATTTGCCACTAATAAAATAGAATGAGCAAAACGAAAGAATACAATAAAGAAGGAGGTCGGTCTATCATCAATTTTTTATACTTAAGATAGGAAAAGTTTAACAGAAAGTACCGTATACAAACCCCACGTGCATCAAAATTTTAATCATTTGAAACAGTGCTTGACGAATGGAGCGGAAAATATTTAAATGGAAGCCAAAATAGGGTAGCTCGTGAAGGTACCATGAAATATGGCGATATTTTCTATGGAAAAAATAATAGTGGCGGAGAAATTAACATTCTTACTCCGGAAATGCTAAGATGCGTGCGGAACGAAGCAAGAAATGGATGAATTTACTGTTTACCAACATACGCATTATTCACATTCTTCTAATGCCATATGCTTATTCCAAATATAGTTATTTCATAAGTAGAGTTTTCAAGTATTAAGACCATATATCGAAACTGACGATCTTTAGGTTATTGTTCTTTTTTATTCAGACCAGTTAAAAACTTTTCAAATAGTAGGTGTCTTCACTTTTACTAATGCTTTTTATTGATTTTTTACGGGAATATTTTTTAAATTCTTCAATAAAACTACCTACTTAATCTGCCGGATATATTGAAAATTCGTCAAAACAATGGCAACACCAGTAACTACATTGTCAATAACACTAGAAGTAACAGAACAGCTAGAAGAGGCAAATCCCTTTTCAAGCGTCGACATAATCAGATGTGGATCTACATTTTTAAACTACAGATATCTCGAGAAAAATCATGAATTGTTTGCAATTTATTTCATTAATTATCAAAACTTGCCATTGGTCGCATTGTGATTGCGAACAGTGTCGAGATTGTTAGACCCAGGTATGATGCATAAATTACGTAACATTAGAAAAAAAAACTCGATCCCGAAATTGAAATCACCGGTTTAGGAGTCCCTTTAGAAAATTTTTTCGGCACGTAACGGCAGCGCATTACAATCACAATGCGATATCGCCTTACCGTTAACGGCCACGGCGGGTTTCACCACAACGCTTTAAACTCATAACTGAGTTTAAACTAAAGTTTGCTAGCTTTTGTAGGGATTTTATTTACATACACATCAGAATGTCAACAATGCAACATTTATTTAACATCTTTATTGATTTAAGGATTTTCCTTAAAATAATAATATAATTTAAAATGAGAATCACCCATTATGATCAATATTATTTTATATCGAAACCAGGTTTTTTTTTATTTTTTTTTATATAACTAGGTAGGCAAATGACTCTACCCCACCTGATGTTAAGTGGTGATAAAGTCCAAATGCAAAGATAGCTGGTACAGCAGTTATAAACTGCTACACCAATCATCTCACCTTACCGGCCCGCAAAAATGCTTCTCCACGCCTCGTTTTTATCTTATAAGGTATCAGTTTAACTGTGCTAAACTCACAAACTGTAATTTGAAAACCTTTAAAAATAATTCTGTCACGTTTGTCATTTTAACAACTGTTTTTAACGGACGGTTAACTTCTGGTGGACGTGTACCCAGCATGGCGGGAAAAGTTAAAGCGATTTAAGTAGGTCATTCACTGTTCAATAATTTCGTCGCATTAACATAAGGTTCTTTGTCTCATTGGGGTTAGTAATAGGGGAATGTGTTTTTAATGACCCGATCGTGATCATTGGCAGCTTAGAATGCGAAGAATATTTCGTGACTCATTAAGAAGGGTGGGTTAATTATTAAGAAGAAGTTAATCTAGGTGTAATTAGTCATCTTCACCTGTTTGTTAACTGGAAAGTTAAATTAGTTCTTTATCTTTTTGTTCAAACAAGAACTGTTACTCATTACGAAAATTTTCTACTTTGAACAATTAAATAAATGTTGTTTCAGTTTCACTTAAATTGTTTATTGTTTCATTCATTTATACAATGTTTAAATACTTATTAACTAACATCACAATTATATTATTCAACTAGAAGGCACAAATGTTAAATCCATTTAGTTTAAAATAATTTGTATTAGTTAGGTGCCCTTTGTAAACAGTACTTTTATAACTATGTACAAATGAAAAAGATGTAGAGCATTATTTCTTAACGTAAAACTTTATAAACCTTACTCTGATTTGACTATTACAATAGTGAAAACAGTGTACAACCTAAGTATGTCCGTAAATCTATTTCAGAAAACCGATTTGATTCTTATATTTTATGTATTTTTTATATAGTTTATTAAATTAACTAGTGTTGGTTAAAGTAATAGGTTGAACTTAACTCAAATAAGGATAATAAAAGTGCGCGGGCTTCATTATTCTACTGACCGTTACGGCACACCTTGCGCCCGCGCCGACAACTGACTTTGGCATTCACAGCTGTACATTTCATTCTATAATTACATCACAATAAATATCTTAAATTTATCTACCTAAGTACATTATAAAAGTGAAAGTGAGAAAATTAAACGCTAATTATTCCTTTTCAATGGACGGGATTGTCTCGTTTTTTCTTGCCACCACTTAAGAGTTTCCTCGAATTGTTCCCTATCTTCGGGTGTCACTTGAATATCTGGAAGTTCCTTTTTTAACTCAATGTCACTGTAGTCGACGAATTTAGCATCTTCTTCTCTGAACTTAATCTGATTTTCACTAATTATTAAATCTGAGTTCATTGTTTCCAAAGGAATTTCAGGAGCACTAATAAAGCTGTGTTGTATTTGATGATGTAATGAATCGGAATATTTCACTTCAAAATCACTTTCGTTCACAGGGATATCTGATTCACTTAAGCAAGATTGTTCCGGAATCACAGTGAATTGTTCAGCGGAATTAGGAAAATTGAAATGGCCCTCCAAAAGATGCGCGTTGACTTCATCCTGACCAAGAAGGTCAGATGATGGCGTCAAAGGTTGTCCAGCGACTTCCTCTTCTTCATATAGATAAGGTGTCGATACAAGCTGGAAAGTTTCTTGTGCTGGAAGTTCAACGTATTGCTGCTGACGAATTTGGTGCAGAGAACCATCAAGCTCATCTTCGTCCATATCTTCATCATCTAGCGCGGGAGAATTCAGAGAAAAATAACTTCTTTCTTGACTGTTATCCCTGGGTGATGAAGATGCAGGTGAAGGAAAAGACTCCATAGATGGGCGACTCCCGTTTTCTTTATCAGCATGCCCGATATTCAATAAACTTTCTAAGTTCCTAATATATTCCACTGCCATGCGTAGTGTTTCAACTTTGCTAAGTTTCTTATTTGGTCCTCGGTTTGAGTTGGCATTTTCAAACGCAGCGGCTACTTCCTCCGGAATGTGGCGACGTAGAGCAGCAAAACCGTCGTTCACTTGTCGCACTCTGTTTCTTTCCCGCGCATTTCTACGTGCGACTGCGAGAGGAGTCGGTGTGCGCGTACTGTCTTCGGTGCTGTTCTCGCGAAGTCTAGGCCTTTTAGCAATGCTGTTCACAACTCCTGCATCTGCTGCATGCACTAAAGAACTCACTGAAACTGTAGCTGGAGTCGGCACTTTTGTTTTTTTCCGCACAATAATGATTTCCCGGCGAATGTTCTGATTGACTTCATTGTTCGAAATGTTCACGGTATTATTCACGGATTCCTGCAGTACCTGCGGCGAATTGCGGAAAACGACGACGCCTATCGAACTCATTTCGATCCGATGATTTGCTGTTTTAACATGTTATGATTGTTTACTTTGTGATTAGTCGCGGGGTTGTGTTGATTAGGTCACGTAAGTATAACTGTATTCTAGTTGGTATAAAATTTAGATGGCGTCAGGGCGCCGGCCGCGGCAGGAATGGCGCGTGCCACGGCGGACGCACCTGGGGTGGCCCGAGATCGCGGGGGGATCGACAGGGGTACTTACTAGTTGCACACATGCTCTTTCAAAGGGGCGGATTGGGGAAGCGTATAGTGATCACAATAACATACCCCACCATCGCCGATACAGTTTATATTCACAATTTCTCACGTGTACGTTTCGTCGTAAGAAACTTTCACATAAATAATGGATATGTTTTATTTTAAGAGGTCTGAAATAGATGCGGGATGCGTCGTTTACGCAACGTTAACAACTTTACAAACTATAATTATAGTATTACGTAAGCTTCTTATATTTGTTTTTAATCAAAGTGTTGAATATTATATCCAACAATAAATTGATATTTAATTCAATAATCTGTAATTATCTGCATTGTTTATAAAGACATATTCTGTAACATGTACGCAAATAGAAATCATAATTTGCCTTGTTACGCCCCAACGTGAAAGTGACTTAACCAATTTATCTTTTTTTGCAGTTGTCTAATACTCTGTAGAAGGTTCTTACGGAAAAAATTTGGGAGTTATGCCAAACTAAAATTAATGGGAACGAAATCGTGGTCGGTAGCTAGTCCTAAATAGATTCCAAGTGGAATGTGTAGAAGATCACAGGGAACTTCTGTCTTTTTTTCATTAATGTTTGATTAATGGTGCAAATAACCATAATAGATACAATATAAGTGTGAAAATAATTTAATGGTCAAGTAGGTACAACTACTTATGCGATCAATTAATATTTTCTACATACTTTTACCAACTGCAGATTTAATAGTATTCTTAAATGAGTTTAAGAATATCTGTATATACGAGTATAAAAGGCAAACGTTAATGACCGACGCACAGCTCAAACTACTGAACGGATGGCGCTGTAATTTGTCGCTCATATAGATGTTATGAGGCGTGCGCTGAGAAAGGATATTTCACAGGCGTTCAAAGTTTGTATGGAGGACCAATTATTCCACGAAGACGAATCCGTGGGCACCCAATAGTTACATAATCCTTTTACTTCATTCGGTAAAGTAAAAAAAGTGCGTTTTTCTGTTTTAATGTAAACTAGCTGACCCGGCGAACATCGTACCTAATAACGTTTTGCTGTTTCTAAAGAAGCGGTAATTGTATTTGACACCGTATACCGTCAATATTGACATTTGGGCTTTTTTCATATTATACGATTTTTATATAGCTAGTATATTTTCATTAAAAGTGATTTTAAAAATATTTCTGTTGTCCTTTTATTGTATTTTTCAACAAACCTTCTCCTGATAATAACGAACACAATAACAAAATAATTATCCAATTTAGTTCAGTCATTCGGAAGTGATATATACATACTTTTCGACGATTCATTTTTATACTTACAGATGGATCACTTAAAGTTTTTATTTTTCTATTAGAGGAGTTCAAAAAGTCCTGAAACATTCGGAGCTTTCAAACAAATAAAGATGATTAATTTTTTTTCGAATTTGAGTAATATACATCAGCTGATACAGCACACATTGTCATGTCCATTTGTAAACGTTGCCTCTCTAATACATCTTTCTTTGTGTGAGTTATCGCCCACGACAGCTGCTTGCTTGCCCTTTTAACTATTGTATTGGCACGCGCCACTATCCTTTTGTGTCTTATCACTAGATAGACAAACATAATAAAAGATGAATTTGAACTCTAACACGATACAAAAAATAATCATTTTCTGTGGCAGTGGCTGTGGCAGGATTCCGTGTGATTCGAGTGTTTTGGGAGGGCGGTATTAGTGTAATTGGGATTTGTATTTAATGATTTGTTACTAACAATTTATTAATTGATTTCGGCAGTCCCAATCTGGACAAAATTTCTACTTGAATAGAAGAAATTGAATGATGACTTCAGTATGTTTGTGTGATAAACACAAATATTTATAACTAGCGGCCGCCCGCGACTTCGTACGTGTAGTTAGAAATAAAGGTTCACTGCTCGTTCCCCGTAGATGATGGCGTGATAATATGTAGCCTATATGTTGACCCGACTTCTTAATAATATTCCTGCCAAATTTGAAGTAAATCTATGCAGTACTTTTTGTGTTTATCCCGGACATAGATACAGACAAACAGACAAAAATTGTAAAAAACTATATTTTTGGCTTCGGTATCGATTGTACTCGTAGATCACATCCCAAGTATTCTTTTAAAAAAATATTCAATGTACATTTTTTATATTCCTACCATTTTATTATATGTATATGTATAACAGGTACCGGGATTAAACCCAAGACCTTAGGCCATTTGTCCACCGCGGCTGTCACCGGACCGTCACCAACACGTGATGACGGCCCCGAAGTAGCGACACTTTTTAGGGTTCCGTACCCAAAGGGTAAAAACGGGACCCTTTTATTAAGACTCCGCTGTCCGTCTGTCTGTCATCAGGCTGTATCTCATGAACCGTGATAGCCAGAAAATTAAAATTATCAAACTTTAGGAAACAATTTAAGACAAAGATCACAAAGTTCTCAACTTCAAGAGAGGTAAGGCATAGCAGATTTCCGCTTGAATTGGAGCACGTAGGTATCTGGTGCGGTTGGAGGTTACCTCTCCAAATGTGTGTTCCAATTCCTTACAGAAAACCACAGAAGAATGACATGACGTTTTAATAGTGTATGTTTCTCTCGGAGAGTAAGGCACCAGGATTCAATTGCGTGTAGTACTAGGTTCAGTCCAGCAAGGTGAGGATGGTAAGCGCAGTACATTTTTCTGTAATGTCAATTTCAGCAGAAACATTTTCATGTAAAGTAATGCCAAGACGGGACCTAATGACTTGCACTGTCAAAAAGCTCGTTAAGTTAAAGCCAAGCTTCTAACTCTACACACCGTAACTCTACAACACCTAACGAGAGTAGACACTACATCTATTTGACATTACTCGAGACTAAAGCCGTGTATTAATTATGCAACATTTGTTTATAAACAGTGTTTCACAATGTTGCATCACCTCTGTATACAGTTGCGAAACCGTTTATAAACAAAGTGTTTCAGATACATGTTGCCGCGTTCTCCACTCTGAATGGAGAGCAAGACGAACCATTTACTTTATAAACAAAAGTTGACAGGTGTGGACGTGTTTTGTGGGAGGTTTATAGTCTATTTAAGTATGGACGTAGTGTGGTCCCATAACCAAGTTTTGATGCCCATATTTCTGCCATGATCCTGTTGATTAATTGTTTTGATACTTTAAAAGTATATGACAGTGAAACATATGAGTTACCTATTGCAAGAAATCTTAAAGTAATAGCTTATCTTCGCTGAAGCTCAATAAGATAAGATTCCGAAATTTTGTTTCCTGTCTTGTTATTGATGGCACGATCAATCTCAATAATATTACAAATTCAGTTTTTGATATCCTAGTTAAAATTTGAAAAGATTCAAATAAACGAAGGTCATCAAATACATAACTACTATTTAAAAATTAGGTTCGAACCCACCACTTTTTTCTTGTTTTTCTTGTAGTACTCTCATGAACTACTAAGTAAGTAGCACAGAGCAACGCTAACTCTTCGGGCACCATCTTAACAACAACTCGCTAGTGTGGACGGTAAAATTTTAGAGACAGTGTTTACGGCAAACTTGTTTATAAACAAGGTAATAAACTTTATAAACAGCACTGCGATTCGTTGTGGATCTTGCTAGCCATGTCAAATTGCCAAAATAGAATCATGTGTGCGGTTGTACCGTTTTGTTGAAAACACACATGTTCACGTTCCTGAGGAGTATCGTGCTCCATTGTTTGTATTCTGCATCTGTCTAGGTCACAAATGTCAAATATGATTGACTTACTCCGCCATTTGCAATAATTATAACATCTTCCGATAGAGTGATTACTTTTGCGCCAGCCTGAATTTACTAGTAACCCTCTCTCGCTTCTTTGTTTGCGTCATCATCATCATCATCATCTCAGCCGTACGACGCCCACTGCTGAGCATAGGCCTCCCCCAAGGATCTTCACATTGATCGGGCCTGTGCCATCTTGTAGGTAAGTATTAAACATATAAACCTTCCTCTGGAATCACTCTATCGTTAGAAACTGAATCATAATCCGTTACGTTGTTTAAAATATCGAAGCGTACAGACGGCAGACCCGATTTCATACTATGTTAAGATTTGGAAACAATAACAGGTGAAAAGTGAAAAAATCACTTTTTTATTTCATTTAAAACGTTTTCGTTGTCTATAGATGAGAAACCTAGATGATACCTAGTTGGTGCATTTTGTTTTTATTTCGTTTCAGCCCAGTCGGCAAAGGGGATCTAATAAGAAATATAGTGTATACACACCGGCAAACTTCTTGAGCGTCGCCCATAGACAAGGAAGCCTGCAAAGTAACAATTTTACATACAAAATCGTCGTAAGTACTACGAAAGTTTATTTATCTGCGATTTTACTCACGAAGTTTGCCGCTACTTATACCTACCTAAATTTAACCATTTTACCCAATCACTTTATTAAGACAGGTATTGAAGTTTTTTAATTTTTATGGATATATTTATAAATAAATTTTTAACCCATTAAAAACATTTTACCAATTTATAATTTTTCTCTTTAAATTTAAAGTTTTGCTGTTAGCTTAATACTTCTGTTTAATAATGCTTAATAAACAAATTTTCAAAATTTTCAAAGGCTGTAAAATTCTGTAAACAAATTCTTAATACCTACTTTCATCGAATATTAGAAAGTACCTAGTAAATGAGAGAAATTTCATGGCATGCTGAACTGGGAGCAAAACAAAACATAGAATACACAGAGAATGGATAGTTTAGAATCTGTTGTTGGCGATGGGCCGGCAACCATTATGTTCCCGGACAGTAGTTAGACTCAACTAAAGCCAGTGGCGGATTTACAAATTTTCAAGGTATAGGCTGCACAGTTTTTGCCGCTCTTGTCTCTACAATTATCATGTCCTGCATTATATAATAAATCCAATAACTTCGTTGAAATTGCACGAAAAATATTTATTGAGGTAGGAAATAAAAAATTCGGTCCCCAAATTTTTCGCCCCAAAAATATTCTGCCTTAGGCTCAACCCAGCCTGCTGGTAAATCTGCCACTGACTTAAGCAAAATATGGAGTCGCCGTTGAACTATATAGCCTTTCATGCTCTGCCAACCAATGATGTTGGCGTGATGGTATTATTAAAGTTAAAGTCTGGACAGTAGTCCAGCAGTCCAGAATAAGGATATTGACAAGAAGGTATAGGTATATACGTACCTATACGTACTTGTAGTCTAACCTTACTCATTTACCTAAACCTAATATTAACTAACCAATTTGCTTATTTGGTGCCAGTATCATTTTGTATAGCAACAATATGGATGATGACGGGGTAAACGAAATTGTAATTAGTCCGTCAGTTAGATTTAAAAAATAATGAATACTTATTTTTTCTTTTGTCTAAAGCAGTTGACGTTTTCGGAGTAGCAGCTCGAGACGTCACTTCTAAGTAAAAAAATGTACTAAGACGTGACGTCATGTGACATTTCAAATCAATATATCTGTGTAATTTTTTAATTATGTGAAGAAAGAAAAAATACTTGTCCAATACTTTTTAATAATCTACCTACGCCTATCTTTTACACAACCGCAAAGTCGAAGAAGTAGTTTAAAAAACGTCTTGATCCAGAAGGAGTTTTCTAACATTGATTCTTCCTTCCAAATCACATGAAATATTCGACTGCTACTGAGAAATAAAATTCTTTTAACTTAAGCACTGCTCCTAATACCAAAAGTGCATCCTGTAATTCAAGATGTCGCGTTTTTTCAATCCGCTTTGTAAGGTGAGGTAGGTACGTACACCATCTTGCGAACATGTGGCAGCAGTGGCGTCAGGTTATGCCGAGCTAAATTTAGCCAGGCCCATATGGGAATCTGAAGGGGGAAGGTGGAGCAAATCTGAGCCGGCCGTGGAGTAATTTAAGGGTGCATGTCAAAACATAGTAAGCCTTTCGCGCGGATGTTTGTTTTGTTTTACAAGTATCTAACAGGCGCTTCAATCACTGATTAGGAGTACTTATTGATAAGATACAGTTTAAAGTTGAATAATCCTACAATTATATGTGAAAGTTTGTAATACGTTTGTTACTCAATCACGCAAATATTACTAAACGGACATGGATAAAATTTGGTAGGTACGCATATAGTTTATGACCTGGATTAAGACATTGGATACTTTTTATCCAGGAAAAATGTTAGATTCCTGTTGAATTC